TAATTCGCAGGTCTATTTTTGTTTTTTTCAGTGCAAAAATGTTTTCCCTTTTTCCGGGGATGGATTTTTTTAAAAACTTTTAACTGTTTTTGTAAGATTCGATAAGTCGGGAGTTTTTGATGGTACGTTCAATAAGTTTATTCTGTTAACATTCAGAAATACTGGCGTGGGTTTGTGCTCCATATTCTGCAGACACTGTTATTCCCGCTTCCCTGCGGTCTGGAGACCGCAGGGTATTGGTACGCGTTTCACTTTATGGGCATGGAGGAGCACGTGACCTGTTTTCGGTACATGGAGGAGCATGTGATCTGGTAAAAACTGTACATGATTGGTTAATTGACCTTCTCGAAAACCTAGCTAAAACGCGTTTGTCGGTACGTTACGGATTTACCTCTAGGGAATTAGTCCGAATTACACCTATTTAAGAACAAAAACTATTACGTGATATTTCTAATTTTCTACAATTATTTACCGTTTAAGGTGAAAAATCTTGAATGGATGTGTTTGAAAAAATATCAAATGTTTCTATAAATCTATCTCAAATTTTTACAAACAATAAGAAACCTATGTAATTCGTAGTGGCATTTGCATAATTAAATAGAGATATTTTATGCGTAAACTTGTATGTTAACTTTATTCTTTGTTTGGCTAGGAAATATTCATAAAGTGGGTAGGCCTATTTAATCATTTTCTTAAAAAAAGAAATAATTGTTTGATGTTCGACCTTCTCCGCGTCTTTCAACGGTCACCAGTTTCCAAAGACCTTCTTCTATATTGATCGAGTATTGTCAACTATATTCCTAATACAAACGTTTATTCATCCACCCCCACAAAACAATTTTGAAAATAGTTCAATGAAATATCTTTATATCATTAAAAATGTTCCCCGCAGGAAACCATTTTACTTGTTCCTCAACATGGATAATACCTCAGTTTAAAGCTCTTGGTACCGATCTACGGTCATATAACCGTCAAATCACAGTGTTACGGACAACATATTTTTAAATAGTGTCCAGTCCAAGTACGTCCGAAGATTGTTCAAGAGTTGGACCGCGGCAACAGCATCGTTATTAGCGATCTATCGTTATAAGCGGTATGTCTTTATAAGTGGTATATCGTTATAAACGATATCGTTATAACGCCCATTCTCAATAAAATAAAGCATTTGAGGTTGAAAAATATTAAAAATTTGATGTTGTCATTGTGTCTTTTTATCGCTTTGAAGTAAAAGTTTTAGGGTACTTTGGCCAAGTTTGCCCAAGAAATTATTTTGAACCCAAAAACTATAATATAACACGGATGGCATTTTATTCAGGTAAATGACACTGTATTTTTTCGGTAAACGTAGATTTCCCAGATATCTAATAATGTAACATATGGGCTTGCATATTTAAATAATTTAAATGTCTGTTAAAAATATATCAAATCTGTTAAAAATCTCTATCTAGAGGGACTTTCTAAACCCAGGAAAATTTCAAGGAAAAGTTAGGTAACCTTTTTTCCTAATTTTTTTCAGTTAATTTCTTCAAAGTTTAAAATTTCGTAGAAAAGCAAAAATAGTCAATTTTGGAAAAAGGATTATGTTCTGTCTTCATTCAAAAGGAATATATTCATATATAATATATGGGAGGTCCGAATAACATACACAAATTTTTGTGGTTAAAGCATAGTTTTTTTTCCAAAAAAAACATTCAATTTCCACTTTTCTTAATATTTGGAAAATTTATTGCTAAGCAGTTTCTAATCTATCCCCATTATAGGATGTCACGTTTATGTTTTCTTTTTTTTTTCAAATGCAAGTAAAGGTTGAGAAAAAAATTTTTATGTTTTGTAAAAATAATTTATTACTTAAGGATTTATTTTTTAACATTATTTATATATTAGAATGAAATTTACGGCCAGTCAAAGCTCTTTGCAGAAACGAATTAAGTTGTTGCCTGAAGAACATTAATATCTTTGTAATATATTTTTTTAACATTCTTGCTGGCACATCAACATATTATTAAAACAAAATTTCCTTTTAAAAACACTTTTGTAATCTTCTTTACATTTCTAATACCAATGTAAACCGGTTTTACTAACCAGGCAATCTAATCTCAAATTTATCTTTTAATTTTCCCAAAAATTGTTGAAATTGTAAGTTGGAGTAACGTATGTTTCACACTCCGCTTATTTATTGAACTTTAATAACCCGGAATTGAAATGTACATGGTTTTAAATCGACTTTTTATTATTTAGGAAAATCAAATGAGTACATCAATTTACTATTGTCAATAAAAATTGCGATTTTATGTTTTTTTATATGCAATGTTTAAACAAATATAAAAGTCTGTTTGATAAAAGAAAAAAGTTTGTTTTTTACTGTGGTTTACTTAAAAAAAAAGTTTTTAAAAACTCGACCCAAAAGTTAAACAAAATTTTACTTATAATTGTTAAAAATTGGAAAAGTTAATGTTGCTGTTTAATACGTTGCTTTCTGACTTTCCCAATTTCTCTTTTTTGATTTAAACTTCTTTTAAAAAAAAGTTGATAAAACGTATGTTTCCTGTAAAACGTATTGTTTCTTTTTACATTAAAAGTGGGTTTAAAAAAAGACGCAAAAGACCGTTTTTTAACCCGCCATAATTTTTGGTTAATATTCAGAAGTTTACAACACATGTTAAAAATTTCTTTCTTGTTTGGGAGTTCTTCTTTGAATGGAATTTTGGTTTAAAATAATGATAAAACGTATTGTTTCTTTTTAAAAAAAATGCTGTTGGAAAAGGATTTTGAAATTAACTTTAAAACATGAAAAAATTTCCGAAAAATTAGAAATGATATTTGAGAGGCTGCAAGCTTATTTTCACTTATTTTTAATTTATATATATGCTGTATTATTAAGCATGCATCAATTCAATTATGTTTAATTTCGGTTTTCACTTCTTATTGTTTTTAGGTTTTGTCACTATTTATTTTTTATGGGCATTTGGCGACATTTGATCATCCATTATATCAATGAGATTAACAGTCAAATTATAATTTTTAACCCAATAATTTTCAAGTTCATGTACACACCAGCAATGACTAATTGCACAAAGTTTCGTTTATTCTGGAACTTAAAATTTTTTCTGAACACACAATTTCAAAAAGTTGAAAAATTCTAGGGGCGACAGTAACGTATGTTACATTTTAGGCATTTTAATGGTACTTGTAAAAGAAAAAAAAAACAGATAGAAATTGTAAAACTGCGAGAATGTCCCTACTTAGACAAAGTGGCAGACACCTTTCTAACGACACCAAACCCCACACCCCCCCCCCCCCCCACCCCCACACCCCCACCCCCCCCCCCCCATTTTAACCTCAAAAAAAACCTTCGTATTAGAGCTACCCAATGGAAAAATCCAAATGCTGTGTTTTATTGAGAATGAGCGATAAGTGGGATTGACTGTTTGTACTACCCCATAGCTTTGCCTTTTTTCAAAACTAAATTGCGCCAAACAGCATCGTTATTGGCGACTTATCGTTATAAGGGAATGGTCTTTATAAGTTGATATATCGTTATAAAAACGATATCGTTTTAAGTGGGGATTGACTGTACTACCATAGCTTTGCCTTTTCAATGCTAAAATTGCGCAAGTTATGTCAGAATTACATCTCAACAATTACAAATTTTCGGCTCTTTCCGTCAGTCTTCGGATAAGGGCCCTCGAATAGAACAGAACGGATACCAAGAATGGATACGAAATTGAGAGGTGTTCCGTAAACATCTATGTATAAGCATTGGAATGGATAGGAGATTTCATCATCGCAATAGTAGCAAAAACTAATCAATCGGTCATAGGATTTCATTTTATTTACAAAATACAATATATGCTAAAATAAAACGTATCAAAATATCTAGTAAATATCTAGAAAGGAAAGTTAGGAAAATAAATAAAGGATTATTGCATAGCACCCGTATTTTAAATACAATGTATTAGTATGTACACATATAACTGCTTTACTTAATTACATAAACTTAATGTCACAGTATAATTATTTTCAAATATATACAAATAACAAGAGCTGTCGGAGGACAGCCACGCTCGACAATTCGAAAAAGTTGTCACAAGGGTGTTTCATTGAGTATAATAATGCTTACATATATGAATACATGAAATTGTCCTAAAAGGGTACAAAGGCTTTTCATTAAGATGTTTTATCAAATAAATCACGACTAGATTATTATGAATGCATAAAATTGTCAAAAAAGGCACAAACTCTTCAGTAGTTATAGAGATATCAGCTTACACGTGAAAACTTAACCACAGGGACGCCGACAAATCGGTGACTACGTATAGTAGCTCGATTATTCTGCGAATCGTCGAGCTAAAAACGATAATAAAATTATATTACTTCTGAAATGCACTTTTTCACGAACAGTATTTCTTTAAACAGATAACATACTTACATGTAATTATTTATACATTTCGTATAATCTAGACACAGTACAACTAATCTTAAATATATATATATATATATATATATATATATATATATATATATATATATATATATATATATATATATATATATATATAATATATATATATATATATATATAATATATAATATATATTATATATATATATATGTCACAGCTTCCGGTTCAGAAATAATGTTTTTATGGCATATATAAATATTGTTTTTATGGCCATATTATAAAATAGGACCTTAAAATTCATATAAATTCATATATACTTTGTATATAAATTTTTCAATTCGTAGCCGTGATAAAAGTACACAAAATAGTACAAAAGAGATAGAACGTATGGAAATTGTCAATTTCGTATACAAAACAAATCGCACTAATACGTTGTGCGCACGTTTTCATTAATTGCTAAGACGATAGGACACGAGCCTTTAGTCGAATGCAGATAAAATTGCACTATTTCAATCCAACCATTGTACATTGCACATTTTGATATTGGCATGTAATATCACAGACGTGGAGAAATTAATAAAACAATCCGTTTGATGTCGAATCGCACTCAAGTATGTTGTGCTCACATTTGAATAAGTCATCGAATTCGAGAATAAGAAAAATGCCAACAATGTCGGACACAGTTTCAAAATCTTATTGATGTTGTTGTCCACATTTTTTAATTAGTCGCTGATAACAAAGAAGTAAAGAATTAGGAAAATGCCGATGCCGATGAGAACTCCGACCACAATACTAAAGGTACTTCCATAATTATTCTGAAACAACAAAAAATATGTTATAAAAAAATAAAGTTAATAAGAAAATAAAAACGCAAGCAGTTCATTTTATTTTAGCTTTGTACTAATTGCACGTTTGTTACATCGCTTTTAATTGGGCAATTGTGAAGGTTATAAGATCTATATACACGTGAACTGTGCAAACATTCAAACAAAAAAAAACATGTAATGGTTTAAATTTAAAGCGATGGGGATGCAGTTTTCTGCGGTGCATTTAAATGTACATTTATAAATGCTATTTCAACCGGTTGAAATTGTTGTTATAAAAAAACTATATCATAAAAACAGAAAAAAATGGACTTACTAAGTTTGTAATTATATTATTATTATTATTATTATTATTATTATTATTATTATTATTATTATTATTATTATTATTATATTATTATATTATTAAAATACTTTATGGCAGACGAAACCCCTCGCCAGAACCACCCCGACGAATCGCGCACCATACATTTATTGTAGTTAAACAAGTGTGTACTATATATTCCTTAAGATCACTTTTTTATTAGTTATATGGCCAATATATATACGAATGTTTGTTGTACATATAACCCTGGTTATATCACCCTGTTTATATTAAGTAATATAACGGCTATATACAATGATGCTCCTCAACAATACTTAAATTAAATACCGCGTGCTTTGAACTTTATACGCGACCTTTCATCTTTAATAGCTCCATTTCAACCTATTTTATGTTTATATGTATAATATTTTTATTACATCATATGAGAGTTGATATCGATCAATGGCAATAAAATATTCTATTATTAGTAACAAGTGAAATTATCATTGACAAAAACATTTTTGAAAGCGGCCTTCAGCATTTATTTTGTGTTGGAAAAAAATCTGTTTTGTTTCAAACTAAGTATTTTATTAACTTTAACGCGACAATGACGTTTGTTTCTTAATAAAAAAAAATAAAAAAAAGATCGCACTTTACTAATTTACATTTAGAGAGCAGACCGGTAGATGAGAGGTATCGAGGGGTTTCCGTTTTGTTTATGTACTTTAACGACGGAAAATCTATTCTTTTGGTTTGAAAATTATATGAAACGATTTATCTAAAAGAAATAACATATTATACCATCAAACTATATAATAGTACATCAATTTAGACTGTAGCGCCAATAAGCGAATAAATTTTAACTTGATAAATGTACTGAATGAAACTTTCTTACCGCAAATAAATAAGACAATACCAATAAATATTTCAGTTAAATGTAAGGTAACATTTCATTTAAATAGACAGCAAATAATTAGGTATAATATCTTATTTCAATAACAATTGCAACGGAATTATTTGATATTCTTAAAGAGCCCATACCGTGTTATATCGTCTAGTAACCACAGGTTTTGCTTGTGGTTTAAATTTTTTAAACTTCATTTTTGGCATTTTTATATCAATATCTAACTCAGGGTCTTCATTAACGTACGACAACTCAGCAGGTGGCGCTTCTCCTACATCGCCCGGGGGCACCTGTCCTAGAACCTCACTGCCACTTATATATGCTATGTTATCCATAGGCATACAGCCTCCATCATATCCTCCATATCCAGACTCTAAAATATAATTATAATTATATTGTTACATTCATATAAAAACATGATTATATTGTCATAATAATATTGGCATAGTGATTTAATCATAATGATATTATCATAAAACTATTTTCATAATAGTACATGTATCTTCATAATAATATTGTCATTATAATATATTCATAATAAGGTTGTCATAATAATATTGTCATTATAATATATTCATAATAATGTTGTCATAACAATATAATCATAATAATATTGCCATAATAATATTGTCATAATAGTATTTTCAAATTAATATAACCGTCATAATATTGTCATGTATTATTTCGCATCTTTGGGTTTGTTTCTTTTCTGATTTTTTTGTTTTCAGGGTACATATACGTCAAATATGTGTTATAAAGAGAAGCGGCAACCTGGAAGGCATGTATATACAAAGTAGCATGATGAGGTGTTCGATATATCAAGATGGCTGTCTCATAATATGAAGAAGAATTTGTTCGAGAATTTTAAAAGCGTGATATCTTTTTTGTGTTTGAAATTATTGTTGTCCAATAGGATTGCAGTATTTCAAATTAATCGTAACACATTTAATTTGGTAAATCGGTTAACTGTTAATCAGTCTAGTAAGTTGTAATGCTTGTTTATAAATAATAGTTTAAAACACTTAAGCTGGATAAAATTTATTAGTACATATTTACAAAATTAAATTGGTCGCGCGGCTATGCCGCGCCTGACCAATTTAATTTTGTAAATAATAAAGTTAACCTATACTTTATTCTAAATATACATGTATATTGTACTTGTGTTAACGATTTAAACACTTATACTACGTACATTTCTTAACAGATGAATACTACTTATAGATAGTATAGTAAGCATTTACTCTATCAAATTGGTCAAGAACGGCGTAATTTGGTGTTTGAAATTATTTTTATAAAACTGTCGATTTACATGGCTGATTTACTTAAATAAATGTGTTATGATGCAATTCTATTGGACAAAAAAATTTCAAACATCTTATGCGTAGATATCCCATTTCATGGTAAAACTGTCATTTTTTGTGAAATATACCCATCTTTACATACCATTTTCATAAACTTAACTGCAAAAACAACAGTCTATACTACATGAACAACGATATCGTGTTGTTTTGAAGTACAATAGTTAACTTACCATCCATTCTATGTGTATACGATATTAATCCACGGCTAAAATTTTCAAAATTAAACTTTTGAAATTCTTCAAACAAATTTCAGATTAAAAGAACAACTAACTTCAAAATCAACGTTTTGCCAAAATAATTTTTTTTAGAATAATACTCGTTTAAGGAAGTAAACTTGACTTCGATCATTCGCTTATTTGTTAGCGCGGAGTACAACATACCTCGTTTTATACATTTTATACTGTTTAAAGTCACGTTCACAAATAGTTATTCGATCCCCAAGGTTAACTTAATGCACTCCCTAGATTTTGGATAACTAAAATATGTAAACAAACATAAAAAAACGTATTTGTTTACCGAAAATTTGTCACATAGTGTATTGTATAACCTGTATTACTTCAGTCTCCCCCCACCAAAAAAAAAATCGAGAAACCTAACTTTATTTGTTGATTTAGCCTTAAAGCACCTAAAAACAATCAATTATCTTAAATAGTTGATATACTTACTTTAAACATAGATGTTTCAAAGGGGTATCATCTTACTTGTTTATTCTAAACTTACCCCAACATTTTACCTGTGACGTGACAATGTCAATGTCCGTCACTAAACCAAATTTACATATCCGCTCATTGGCTTGTATTAATTTGCCCTTTGATCTTTATAAACTTAAAAGTATTCACTTTTAGCTTTATGTAAAATTGTTAAAACGATGAGTATTATAGAGGATACAGGAAGAACAAGCATTTATAGCTTTTCCTGAATTAAGAATGATGATAAATTTTAACAAAATAAATGTTACCAATTTTGATTTTACACAGTTACAATAAAATATTGTTTATATCAACTTTCTTCATTTGTTTGTGTTTATGCCTATTTCACAGGTAGATAGACCTATGTTTGTTTAATATATATCAACAAAAAATATTAGTATTTTGGTTCAATCACGAACGTGTAACACACTTGTACGTAAAACGGGACAACAGTTGACTGCGACGAAAATATACTACGTGAGTAGGTGGGATTAAACTGACCTTGTTATACGACACTTGCAGTTTGAAAAAATGTGTGTTAAATGAACATATTTATTTGACGTTACACAAAAGTCACCTCAGGTTGTCTTTCTTACGAATGATCTAAAGAAGTAAACATATTCCTGAAAAAAAATATAATGCTGGTTTAAGTATAATATCGCAGCAGCCGTATGCGCTATTTCATTTCTTTAAATTTGATTAAGAATTAACTATTTCAGTTCGATTACGTACTGTGTTATTCGTTTTGGCAATAGCGTTGCACAGATTCGGCGTTACTTCTACGTTATTTGCACATTCCTGCGTTACTGGATATGCACGGTGTATATGATGTTCACAGATGTTTAAAGCAGAAATCCCTTTTTTTTGTTTATTCTTTAGAAATGTCCAACAGAAATGTCCAACATGTGTAAATGTTTATGTTTTGCTTAGTATTTGTTTGGAGACTGTAACAATATACCATTTATTTTTTTATTTTTTATTTATTTATTTTTATTTATTTATTTAAATAAAAATGATAGCATTTTTTAGGCATAATGGGCCTTTAAGAAGACAAGTCTTCGACATTTAAATAACTATAGCAACAGTTGACAAAAAGTTATGTCGAATTGACAACAGGCATTTATAACACTAAAACAGTTCATCCCAAACACTATGTGACGTTCTTGTAATGGGTGTGAAATTGCATTGTGTAAAGGAAAAAGGATTTTTTTCCTTTTTATTTTTTTGAAATACCTGATGCACTTGTATTCAAAATTGTCAGTCAATCACTGAATGTTATTAAAAGTAAGATATAAGCATATCATAACAATGTTTATATTTTAGAATGCCGCGCTAGACTGCACAGCCAGCTGAACATTTTATTCTAACCATGTATTTAGGAATGCCCGTTATATTGCTCTTCCAGTTGAGCATTGTAGCAGGGAAATTTTTACGCTTTATGTCAGAATGCTCTGCTAGATTGCTGGGCCAGCCGAGCATTTCAGCGAACATTTTTTTTGCATATCAGACCGACATTTTCCACTGTCTTCTATAAACAAGAGGATCATAATGACCCTTATATCGCTCTCCTAATTATTTAGGCTCTGAATCAATATTGTTAGCAATGAATGAAAGGCATAACAAGTTAATAAGGGTTTTCCATATACAGTATGCCTTTTAAGTGAACTTTTTACCTAAGATGACTCATATTCAAGCCTGTACTAGAAATCATAAAAGCAATCTTTCTGACCAATCTCCAGGGTAATTGGGTTAAAATTGTAACCTCTAAAGACACAAGTTTGCTTCTTCAAAAAGAAGCATGCGAGAGGTACTTTTGCAGCTGCTGAGTACTTGTTTAATTGTTCAAATGGCAGGAAAACAATTAACAAGGTCAAGGTCACACTTATAGTTTGAAGGTATTCGTTCTCTCGAGAAGACTTTGAAGATACACATTCATGTCCGGACTGTAACTTTGTCATGCATGGAAGGATTTTAAAATAACTTGGCACAATTGTCTACCACATCACGACAATGTGTATGAATGTCCTTCTGTTCCCACTTACACAACAATCATGTCTAGACTGTAACTTTGTCAAGCATTGAGGGAATTTCAAATAATTTGGCACAAATGTCTCATAACAAAATTTTGTCGCAACCAGGAACAACGTCCCTTCTTCAAAGGTCAAGGTCACACTTATATTTTGAAGGTTCATGATAGATAGATAGTTTATTCACATAAGACGTGTACAAAATGCACATGGTCACAAAATACATACGTTCAAATATAATTAAACATCACGTAATCATCAAAGTTAACATTATTTAGTAGCAAAGTGTCATACAATGATAAAACTACATCTTTGGACTGCATTAACAAAACATGGAGAATGAAAAGAAATAAATAATATTACTAACAAGATAACATTTTTATAATTATGTCTGAAGATTCGTGATTTAATTCCCTGCGTTTAAATGCTTGTGCTATAAAATTTCCCAAATTTAACAAGACTTTTTTCTTTTTAGAACTTAATAAATCAATAAATTTGTACATGCTCGGATTTTTCACATAATATTTTGGTATGAATTTGTTTCTCAGGTCAGAATATTTTTTGCATGTGATTATAAAATGAAATTCATCTTCTATGTCATTACCGCAGAAATAACATAATCTTTCATTTCTTGGTTTTCGATTACGCCCATGTCTAAGAGATTCTATAAATAAATTATGCGACGACACGCGCAATCTAGTTATGCTATTACGTATTTTAAACGAATTTATTTTAATCAAGTAATCCGATCATACCAAAGCTCGGTTTTAAATGTATGTACAAGGATTTCAGTATTTCATTTTTCTCAATATCTCCAAATAGTTTCTGTAAGGCACAATCCGTTACTGTTTCTTGAACAAATTTACAAATAATTTGAAATTTATGTTTTTATGATTTACAAAAACAGAGCTAAAACCATAATCATCAAGCAGTTTTTTAACATGGAAAAACCCAATTCTTTTCTACCATTATAATACTGCGCCAATGAATGTGCATAAACTGATTTTTAATAGCATATTATCCCGTATTGATAATCTTGACCCAGTATTTAATAATATGTACAAAACGAAATACATATAAAGGATAGCGACCCAATTCTGCATATATAGCTGCGTTACTTGTCGATTGTTTTACACCAAGGATTGTTTTGCAAAACTGTAGATGAATACGCTCTAATTCACAAGACTTAGTAAACCCCCAAATAGGACAACCATAATTTAATATCGATCCTACGAATGCATCAAAAAGTTGCAATGAAATATCCGGACGAATGTTATATCTTTGATATTATTTAACAATGTGTGCATCGCCCTAAGTGCTTTGCCTTTTAGACATTTTATATTTAAAGCGAAAGTACCAGTGTAATTCAACGTTATTCCCAAATAATTGAAATCATCAACAATTTCTAACGGTTCATCATTATAAATGAAATGTTCATTTCTTTTAACTGGCCCTCGTTTCCTAAAAACAACAACTTTGGTTTTTGCAGTGTTTACCTCTAACCCCCATTTTTCACAATATTCGCGTAAAGAATTCAGTCTCGATTGTAAATCTTCTACAGAATCGCCACATATTACCATATCATCCGCAAATAACAAAATTACAAGACACATGTTCATACAGTTCATGCTATCACAATTAGAGATTACAGGAACAAGAATACGCTGAACAATTTTCAGCAATTAGTTACTTTCATTCTCTTTTCTTTTTATATTACCTGTATGCTTAAGAAACCTTTCCGGGGGCATTCGTCACTTGGGTGACAGCTCTTGCTAAGCTATGCATCAACAAGTTGAAAATTGAAAATTTATACTAAATCAAGGGCAATAACTCAAACTCAAATAACAAAACTGAAAAATGAAGGGGAACTGTGGCCTAGTGGTTAATGTGTCTGCCTCTCAATCCAGGGATCATGTTTTCGAGCCCTAATCGGGTCACGACCATGTTTCTTCATATGTCACCAGAACTGGTAGGTTCCAGGAAGCGGACTCGAAAGTGAATTTGTTTCGCAACCGAGCTTGAATATATATTTTTAATCAAAACTGAAAGAAATCCACATACAAAACCCAAAGTGAATAGCTTCACAGTAATGTTGATTATTATTCCTGTAAAGTTGGTTGATTCTATCTCTAGCACTCAAGGAAAAAATAACACAACAAAATGAAATGGTTTTTACTAAGTCAATGGCAAAAACTCTATAAATACTGGATAAATCGACAAGTGCACAACTACATATGCTGAACATCCTGTTAAGTTTCATGGCTCTAGGTTAAATTCTTTTTTGAGCTACGCACGACACAAATTAAAGTCAAGAGCAATACATTTCATAAAACAAAATATAGCCACAAACAAAACCCACGGTGCATAACTTCACATGCTGAGAAACATTCCTGTAAAGTTTCATGACCCTAGATCAAATACCTTTTGAGTTATGTGTGACACAAGTTGAAATTTGCATATTTGTTACTAAGTCAAGTGCAATAGCTCTACAAAATTAATAATGAATCAATCCACACAAAAATACCCAGATGCACAACTACACATGCTGAGTAACATTCATATAAAGTTTCATAATCTAGGTCAAATACTTTATGAGCTACGTGCGACACAAAATGAGATGGAACGGACGGAAGGACGGACAAGGGTTAATCTAAATCCACCC